TTCCTCTAACCCAAGCTGGGTATATATATATATATATATGCATATAGATACACCTATACATATACATGTCCATAGCTGCATCTGAATAAGCTCCATATACATCCATTTACATGTATCTCAAGATTCTGTGTTGAAGTAGTTGCAGAAACTTCCATGTATGTATGCCAAAGAATCAGACGAATGAGTTGGGGCGATTTCTGAAAACTTGCAGATGAACGTGTTCAAGGCTCCTTGGTCAATGTCTGAACGCTTTGATGAGCCAAAGGAAGGATCAAGCAGAAAACCAAACAGTTCAAGGTATTACCGAACCGAGAAACAGAAGGGAAGGCGAAAATCCTCGACAGGGACGAGCAACTCACCAGTGGATTCTCCGAAAAGGATCCTCGGATCAACAAAGCAATCAAAGCGAAACACAGGAAAACATAGAGAACAGATCTCGGGTTCGGGTTTAAGGTTACCATTGCAGGCGGAAGAAAAGTCTGCAGAGTCGAAGCATTCGAGGCAAAATAAGTCGAAGGGCTCAAAGGAAAACGATATTTCGGTGAGGGGTGTGTTCCCTTTAACGGATCTTAGGACTTCAACAGGAAGATAAAGACATCAAAAACCTGAGTTTGTGTCAGAACATAGGAATCTCCAGACTGTCGGTGATCATGACTGCAATCTTTGATGCTTTCTCATGGCGTTCACACTGTTTTCATGCCGTAACCCTGTTTGCTTCATGGTTTTGGTGTCACAGAACCGGGAATTGAACTAAATGCGTGTATATATATATAAACGTAAACCCTAGCTAGGCCACACTCTAGGGTTTCTGATCTTGATAAAGCATGCTCCCATCCCATGGATAGTGTCTCCATGCAGAGCATGTTTTATGGCAACGGATTCTGAGGATTTGGTTGTCAAAAAATGATGAGTCGTGAGTTTGATCTTGTAATGTATCTGTATATACGGAATGTTGTCTATTCACATAGAAAAAGTAAACATGAAACTCACATACAGAAGTTGCTTGGAACAAAAGTAATCGGCATTTACCCTTTTATAAACAAATTGTTCATCTTCAAGATAATTATCTTTATTATTATTTCAGAGTAATAATTATTACACACTTGAGGGCATTTCAGAATTTTCATTTTAATTTTAAAAGCGTTTTATTAGAGTTTAACGCCGGTTTTGGTCGGTTTGATTTGATTAAAAAAAGGGTTATATGAATATTTAAACAACTCTTATTAATAAACCAAACTAGACCAAATAAAACCGATGGTATACTATTTTTTTAGTTAATACAAAAATAAATAATATTTTTCCCTACTTTCAAAAAAATGAATGAATTTTGCCTAATATTGGGCTTAGAATGGAACACAAAATGAGCCTTATAGTTCGCTTTACAGCCCAAAGCCTGCGAGTTAGTAAAAGGGTAAATTCGGTATTGACTAAATAGCGTTAGGGTTCCTGAAAAAAAAAAACCTAACCGCTATAAACTCTGTTTCGTCATACGTTGCCAGCGGCGCAAAGCGACGAACTTTTTCCGGCGCGGCGAATCTGAATACGATACGCGAAAATGGTAAGTGTTCTTCTCTGGTTTCTGCGAAATGCTCTCATGAGTTCCGTAATGCTTTACTTTTTGTTAGGGTTTCTGTCTGGTCAGCGATGTGTTGAGGATGAAGTTTTGGAGGAACGAGTAACGTTTTTTGGATCTGTGTTATTTGTTTTTTCATATGCGTCGGAGTTTTTGACGGTTGGTTTCTTCTGTGTCGTTTGTTTCTGAGGAAAGAAAGGGAAAGCTCAGAACTTTAGTCTTAATTCCCACTACAGAAATCTTGTGGATTCACAGAAACAATTAGGAAGTAAATACTCTCTCAAGCTCACTGAGGGTACCCTGAGATTTGTTGATGATCAGTTTCTTCTGCTGAGGAAGGAAGGGAAAGCTCAGAAACTTTAGTCTTTATACTTGATTCCCATTTCAAAGTTCTTGTAACTTTTGAGGGTACCCTGATATTTGTTGATGACCAGTTTCTTCTGTCTCGCTGTTAGCCTGGGGAAGAAAGGGAAAGCTCAGTACTTTAGCCTTCTTACTTAATTCCCACTTCAGAGATCTTGTGAATTCATAGAAACAGCCAGAAAGGAAGATGTTTAATCAAACTTTTGAGGGTACCCTGAGATTTGTTGATGATTGGTTTCTTCTGTCTCGCTGTTAGCCCGAGGAAGAAAGGGAAAAGCTCAGAACTTTAGTTTTCTTACTTAATTCCGAGTTCAGAGACCTTGTGAATTCATAGGAACAATCGTCTGTTCTAGGATCGCTAAATTTACTAACTGTTCTTGGGTTTGATTTGTTATATCTATCGTGTTTGTGATCAATGCCTTTTGCAAGTCGATGCAGTATTTGATTTTTCTTGTTTTTAGGTGAACGTTCCAAAGACTAAGAAGACGTACTGCAAGAACAAGGAATGCAAGAAGCATACCTTGCACAAGGTGACGCAGTACAAGAAAGGAAAAGACAGTCTTGCTGCTCAAGGGAAACGTCGTTATGATCGTAAGCAATCTGGTTATGGTGGTCAGACCAAACCCGTCTTCCACAAGAAGGTAAATGAGAGATCGATAAAGTATTAGATTGGAGTTACCATAGTAAAACCAGAAGGCTGACAAATTTTCATGGCATGGTTGCTGTAATGTGCGATGGGGTTTTGCCCGAGTGACTGATATTTATAACTTATGAACAGGCCAAGACAACAAAGAAGATCGTCCTAAGGCTTCAATGCCAGAGCTGTAAGCATGTTTCCCAGCATCCTATCAAGGTAAAAATGAAAATTAATTTTTTTTTTAAAATCTTCTGTGCTGTCACCAGTGTCAGTCTCCTAACATTGCAACCCTCTCATGTTGTTGTTTCAGAGGTGCAAGCATTTTGAGATCGGTGGAGACAAGAAGGGAAAGGGAACATCTCTCTTCTAAGCCCCCTTCTTCTTTTTTTCTTTTTTTGCAGTTTTCAGAACTCGAACCAATCGGTTTTTGTTGTATTGCCGCCTTGAACTTACATGTCGGAGCCATAAAGTGGTGGTTTTGTTCTTGATATGTTTTGACGCTGGCGGTGATCCATAATTTTCATATTCACGTCTAAAAGGGATTTGATTTTATATAGAGCAACAGTGTATTGCTTGATCATGGATTAATCAGAAAATTGCAATTTCTAACTACTGAAAGCATATTTTAACAAAGTCTAGATCCTTTAATGCGCAATAGAATCTTTCCTTCACTTTTTCGATCGATGACGTTGTATTGTCGTAAGTTTTGATAATTATACCAAAAAAAAAACACTTGCAAAGACCAGGCCAAATCAGCAATGCATATTACAACATAAACTCAAACAAGGGATAAGTATATTATATATATATATATATATTAAACCAATGGATAAAACAATACATATATCAGCCAGAAACACACACACACACACATAGATATATGTGTGTGTATATATATAGCAATAATGTGGGTGATTGGATCATAAAAATAATAATGTGGGTGATTCAACAAGGGATCCATAAATATAAATATATATAAATATATTAAGGGTTACTTGGAAGCAAAGTGGAGATAGAGAAAAACAAAGAGCAAGACGACGGGGAAGAAAAGCAGAAGCGGAGGAGACGGCGGAGTAAGGGGCCCCATCACCAGCGGTCCCACCAACAGCACCGCCGCTACCATCGCTATTGCCACCATTCCGCCTATTCCCACCCCCGATTCCGACAACCTTTTCCCCATTACCACCTTTTTTTCCGACCAAATCTTTTGTTTTTTCTTGTTGTTGCTGTTGCCCTAATTCGGGTTATATAGAGACGAGGGTTCTTCTTCTATTGGCTTCGTGCCGTTTCCCTTTGTTTTTGTATGGACACAACGTTTCACGTCGCATGCATTCGACCCGTAAACTAAACTACCCATGCACCAAGACGCTGCGTTTTGATCCAAGCGTATCAAAACGCTGCGTTTTATTCCCCCTCGGAGCAAAATTCAAAATCTCAAATTTGAAGCTCTCATCGTGTCCCGCCTAGAATGCAAAAGCCGACAAATTTGGGAGCTTTCTCTTGTCTCCTCGTCTTGTCATCGATTCATTCATACGTTTTCTTCAAAATCACCGATTTCCAGAAATCTTTGGAGACCGTAAGCTGTTTTTCTGCCCTGAAAGTTTCCCGATGTCAGCTCCGTCGAGTCGCCGTCTCAAAGATGCAAATGCCGGTGGCGGGCAAAAACCGTTGCCCGGCCAAAAGCCCTCGAAGCCTCTGACCCCAGTTTCGATTTCTAGGCAAAACCCTCGTCCAGCTCTCCAGAAATCGTCCTCCTCGAAGGAGAATCCCCGGCCGAGTTACCGGTCTTTTGGGTCGACCCAGAAGCCGGTGCTCCGATCTGTCCCACGCGTGGAGAAGTCCGCCATCGGTGGTGGTGGTGGAGAAGACGGATGTTGCGGCGGAGAGGGTCGGGTTAGGTGGTCAACATCGTGCGGTCCAAGAGGTAGGAGTCCAAGTCCATCTGATTTGATCAGGGTTTTCTCGGATTTGAGAAGGGAAAAGGGATCTAGGGTTTCATTGGAGAAGGGTGAATTGAGTTCAGATAAGAAAGCTAGGTATAGAAATTTGGGCGGCAAGCGGGTAGAGAATGACAAAAAGGTTAGTGATACATTGTGCAAATCGAGTAGGGTTTGCGAAGAAACAGAGGAGGAAAGTAGAATTAAGACGGATTTAGGCTCTGACCCTTTGAAAGCAAGTAACTTGGAGGATTCTAGCACAAGAAGAAGTTCGAGCTGTGACCTAAAGGTGCATGCTCTTCTTGGATGTGAAAGCAAATCTGCAGTTGCTTCGAAATCTGTTGGTAAAATGGAAAATATTGGGAGAGGTACTAATTCAGTTTCAAGGAAAAAATCTTTGGATAATGGTGGGAAAGTACTGGAGATCTTGAAAGAGAAGAGAGGGGTTGAAGGAACAAGTGGGCTTTCAATCAAATACCAAAGCAAGCTGCAGGAGAAACTTGCTTTTCTTGAAGGAAAGGTTAAGAAAATCGCATCCGATATCAAGAAAACAAAGGACATGCTGGACTTGAATAATCCAGATGCATCGAAGGTGATAATCTCTGATATACAGGAGAAAATCTCTGGGATAGAAAAGGCTATGAGCCATGTTGTAAGTGATGCGGATGACAAGAACAATTTGCCTAGTCTAAGTTCTAATGAAGAGAAGAAAGAACCGGGGGATAATGAAAATGAGATAGTGGAAAATGTGAAATCTTCAGTTAAAGGATTGAACAATGAAGAGCTAGAAGACAGACTTTTTCCTCACCAGAGGTTGCTGAGGAGCAGAACACAGTCGAAGACGATGTCAGAAGTCTCAAAGAACCAGGATGTGTCAGATTCAGTTGAATCCAGTATGGAAATAAGGGTTGAAGTAAATCCATTGGATCATACTGAGGAGAATGGCAAAAGTGAAATCACAATTAGGAGTGATCAACCCGATTCGAAGCATCTGGAAGTGCAACATATGGAAGTAGAAGAAATGTCAAAGAAACGAGATTCCTCTAAACAGATCAGTGTCACTTCTAAGCTAAATGAAATTCTCAGAGCTGATGAAACCCTTGAAGAATTTGATGATGAAGGGGATAGAGAAGATATGGAGCTTGAGGAGATTGAAGATGCATGCATGTACCGCCTAAATGAGATTGGAGCAAAAACTTCTACTGGAGGATGGTTTGTGTCAGAGGGAGAAGCAGTTCTTCTCGGTCATGATGACGGTTCATGTTCCTATTACGACATAGCAAACTGCGAGGTACTATGATTTCATATGCCACACGGATATGGTTCATCTAAATGTGTCTGTTCATGGAATATATGTCTCTCCTCTGATATTTTTTTTTTGTCTCTGTTCTGTTGGATAAAATTGTATAATGTCATTTGGGAATCTAAATTGAACTAAGGCTAAGGGTGTGCTGTATAGATGTTTCTTGATTAGATTTATATAACATGAACCATGCTTTCCCTGTTAAATTATTGGCTTACATCGATCTGCCTGTCCAAATTTCTAGGAATTTCCTTACAGAAAACACATATTTGCTTGATATATTATGAATTACAATCTCTTAATATGCTAGGCATATGTATGATTTGACTGAACTTCATCTGCATATAGATTGTCATTTTTCAGTTATTGTGTGAAATTCCTTTTTCAGGTGAAATCGGTGTACAATCCTCCAATTGGTATCTCACCAAACACTTGGAGGGACTGTTGGATAGTTCGTGCCGCATGTGCAGATGGCTGCTCAGGCAGATATGTTGTAGCTGCTTCTGCCGGGAATACACAAGAATCTGGATTCTGTTCATGGGATTTCTATACCAAACAGATAAAAGCTTTCCACATTGAGGACGGAGCCAAAAGAGCTGATCATTCAACAACAGTTCTTGCTCCTTTATCCAATAACACTCCATATGGTATGAACACTGTTGCTTGTTCATTGGCACCAGAAGCTCGACAATGGTGGTACAGACCTTCTGGACCTCTTATAGCCTCAACTGTGAGTTCCCAAAGATTGGTTAGGGTTTTTGACATAAGGGATGGAGAACAAATTATGAGATGGGAGTTGCAGAAGCCTGTGTCAGCTATTGATTACTCGAGCCCTTTACAGTGGAGGAACAGAGGAAAAGTCGTCATAGCAGAAACTGAAGCTATATCTGTGTGGGATGTAAATTCCCAACATCCTGAAGCACAGCTAACCATTTCATCTTCAGGGCGAAAAATCTCAGCTTTTCATATTAACAACACTGATGCTGAACTGGGCGGAGGGGTTCGTCAAAGGTAAAAAAAACATCATATCTAGTTTAAACTCTTTTCTAATTCTGCTATTGTGTCTTTGATCTCATAAATTAAGTGGATATTTAGGCAATCAATGTATGGTTTAGAGCATGTTACCTCTCTTGTTAAGACCATATCATAGTACTACTGTCTGATAAACATCTGAGCATGTGGTCGAGCAAGATAGATGCTTTCTCTGCTATTTCATTGCTGAAATCTGTTGTCCAAACAATAAAATCATGCACATTGATTCTCAGCTAGTTGTTGGTTACTTGAGATGGAATGAAGTGATTACATTTTGTTTTCTCTTGGAATAATGCAGGGTAAGTTCCTCAGAAGCTGAGGGCAATGATGGAGTATTCTGCACTATCGATTCAATAAACATCTTGGATTTCCGTCACCCGACTGGAATTGGTGCTAAAATACTCAAACTCGGTGTTAACGCTCAATGTATATCCTCTCGTGGTGATTCAATATTTCTCGGCTGTGCAAATTCGAGGTCTACCGTTAACAAACACCCGGCTTCTCAGGTGCAGCAGTTCTCCTTGCGAAAACAACGTCTGGTAAGCACATACACTTTGCCAGAATCAAAATATAACTCACACCACTCTGCTATAACACAAGTCTGGGGAGATACAAGCCTTGTCATGGCTATCTCTGGCATGGGGCTTTCTGTATTTGATTCTGCAAAGGATGAGATGGTTCAGCCTTTGATGAGTGATTACGAAAACGTTAAGGAAACTATCGGACCAGACGATATGTATTCCCCTTCGTTCGATTACTCAGACCGTCGTGTCCTTCTCATCTCAAGAGACCGCCCTGCATTGTGGGGGCCCCTCCTGTAAAAAAAAAAAAAAAAAAAGCAAGAAGCTTTGGCTTCAATGGTGTTTTTTTACAGGGTCTTCAGTGAAAGAAACGGAACTTGGGTCTGATGGTTTTACACATCTAGTTCCTTATCTTATTCCAAGTGATTTTTCAGATGGGTAAATCTATAGTGGCTCGGGCAATAAACTAGAGGGAGTTCCTATGGTACAGGACTTCTGTTTTATCAGCTCATGTGTTCTGTCAGCACAGCTTGTGCTTCTGTTGTGTGTTTCTTGTTTGCTTGTCTTCAAGACAGTGATTAAGATTAAGATCTTTGTTGTTTGTAAATTCAGTTCCATGTTTCTGAAATCTTACCACCGTGAATCTGTAGCAGTGTTGGAAATCCATGACTCCGTCACAAAATTACAAAAAGTATTTGTTTTTTAATTACCAAATGACAATGTATACATAATTCTTAAATAAATGTACAAAATTAGTGCAAGTCCAAATAAAAATAAATATCTGATAGTTTGTTCAGGTGTAAGGCATTTTTTAGAAAACGAATCTATTATTTATTTATGATTGGGGTGGTTGAAATTGTGAACAGACAGGTCTAGACCGGAATTCGAAATTACATAGCATGATTTTTGAAGTTATATATCAAAATTAATATTGGTAGTTTATTGGTTATTAAACATGGTTTAGGAATTTTGACAAGCTACAAGCAAAACGCTAGCATGAGTCAGTCGGCTTTCATTTTCACCAAATCTAAAACTAACAAATAATGTTATTCTAAATTTAAAATAGACCGTCGTTATTGGCTTCTCATCGTTTATTTTTTCTTTCTAATTATTTCGGACCAACTATCGATTGATATTGGTCCGATTCGTTCTTAGCTTTTCAGACTTCTTGGTATATGTCGGAATCGTATATTTTCACTATCTACACGTTTTCAATTCAAAAATAAAATATTGAGATGTATAAATGATGTAATCCTATTAAAGCACAAACTCCATCGGCATTACAACTCCCTCTGATTATATCGAATTTATCTAAATCTCCTCCTAACCTCCTTCCGATCTCCGGGCGCTCTCTTCTCGAGCTGAATCTGAGAGAATCAGACAAGAAGATCCTCGACCATGTCTGACGCTGCCAAAGACGTCTGGAGAAAATATCTGATTCAACTCCAAGCCCACCCTTTGCGAACCAAGGTCTGTTCTTTCGCAATACCCATGAAAATTTGATCATGTTTCTCTGATTGCTCCGCTCGTTTCATGTTCAATTGGGTTCTCAACCTTTTCCGTGTTTCGTCTGTGTTCTCGTGATTTAATTGTGGCTGGTTTTCAGGCAATTACTGCTGGGGTTTTGGCTGGATGCAGTGATGCGATTGCTCAGAAGATCTCTGGGGTTAAAAAGCTTCAGTTTCGGAGGCTTCTTCTCCTTATGGTATGTCAAGTTCTGTTTGGTAGCCGAGAAAACGAAAGAAACCTACCGCGAGTTTAGAGAGAGAGAGAGAGAGAGAGAGATTTGATTTCTCATTACTGTTTCAAAATGTTTCCCTGACGTTTTGGAAGATTTGATGTGAATCTGATCTGCAGTTGTACGGATTTGCGTACGGTGGGCCATTTGGCCACTTCCTCCATAAATTGATGGATGCTATTTTCAAGGGGAAGAAGGACAACAGAACAGTAGCAAAAAAGGTCAAGTCTTTTTTGTTCTTTCCCATCCCCCCAACTCTTTTGTTCTGTTCTTCCTCCTGCTCTCTGATTTCCCTCTTCTTGTTTGGCTCCTTGATCCGAACTAGGATCCGTATAATTTGTTTATCCATTGAAACCCATTACTGGTCTGATTCTCTTGTGGCCCTGAACTTCTTGATGATCATAATTTTGTATCGATTCCTGTTTTGTTTCTGAACAATTTTTGGACCAATGTTGATGAAAAGATGCATCTCTTCAAGCAGGTTTTGTTGGAACAACTCACGTCCTCTCCTTGGAACAATTTTCTTTTCATGACTTACTTCGGGTTGGTGGTCGAAGGTAATCTATGGTCCACATCTGAGTTCTTGCTTTGCTAACTTTAGGACACTGTCTACTTCTGCTAAACTTGTTATATAGAGCTTTTCATCTGCTTCTATGTTCTGAAAGAAATGAAATAATGGGTTTAGTTTTGGCAAAGATGTGAACATTAGTCGTCTTTCTTCTCAATTATCACACTTCAGAACAAGATCCTGAAAGGATTTATCAGAAACCTGAAGCACCCTTTAGGTTTAACAGAAGGGCTGAACCCTAATCAGCTCCTATGGTCAAGCATGTTTCCAATTTAGACATACAAAGTTCATCAGCTTAACCTTTATCCTGACCGCTGAGGATCAAAATTTTAATTGTTGAGCTGTATGCATGCAAGCTGTTACGTATCTGTAGGGTTCATGTATCCTTTCTTCGACCCAAGAACGAAGGAAAGGAAATGCCGATGGTTCTTGCCATCTGAGTGTTCATCAGTCTCTTGTGTTCTTTCTTATCTTCTCTCTTGATTCAGTTTCTTGTTTCATGTAATCTCAAACAATCTGACTTCGATCCACCACTCTCGAAACCGAAACAACTTCTTGCTGTTATTACAGGTAGGCCGTGGAATCTCGTGAAGCACAAAGTTCGGAAAGATTACCCTTCTGTTCAGTTAACTGCATGGAAGGTACAGAGCCCGAAAAAACCATAGCATCCTTTTTTCCAGTTTAATCATAAGACCAGAGAGAGAAGTATTTTCACACTACACAACACACACTTGCTTCTGAAATCTCTGCAGTTTTGGCCTCTTGTCGGATGGATGAACTACCAATACGTCCCTCTCCAGTTCCGCGTCTTGTTCAGTAGCTTCGTCGCCTCGTGCTGGTAAGAACACTTACATGTCTGGAAACAAAACTTGTCATCAGATTAATAGAAGGGCTTAACAATGGCGTATTCCTTCTCGCATACTTTCAGGGCGATTTTCCTTAATCTGAAAGCACGGTCTGCAGTGATCAAGAACGCTTAGAAGGCGAAGGAGGTGCGAATCTTGTGGTCTGAGATCCATAGAGAATAATTTGGCTAAGTAGATCCAGTTTCTTGTACCCCAAGTTACTTTGGAGATGATTATGGAATACTAAATTACTGATGGGTAGGAAATGGACGTAGGAGCCAAGTTAATCAAAGATACTTGACTATTATTTAAAGTAATCATTTAGTTAACTAATTATGTCGGTCCATTTCATTGCATATTTGCATTGGACAATGTGTTGATTTTGTAGTTAATTTAGTTCTTAATCATGTCGGAAGATACCGTTGATCTTCTCCCGTCTGTGATTATAAAAGATGATAATTTGTGGATTGGTTGGATCAGATCTTTACTAATTTACGACTGAATCTAAACAATTCAAAAACAACGGAAATGAAAAAAAAAAACACGTAACAACAACAACAACAATGACAATAACAACGACGTCGACACGTCACATCTGGATCCACCTAGCAAGTTGGGAAGGGTTCACCACACCGGGGACGTGGGTCCCATCTATCTTCAGCACACTCGCCACGTCAGCATAGCTCTGGTTAGCCTGCTTCCTTCCCGGGTCGGCTATTATTGGGTCTGGTCGACCCGATTCACCATCGCAGAGCAACCGAGAGGAGGCTGCTCCAGTTGCGTCGGGTCGACACGGCTCGAGCTTGTGGCCGAGGAGCGTGCCATTGGCGAGGAACTCGTGGGCCATGTACCCGGCCAAGAGCCAGTTCGACGATTCCGGCTCCTTCATGGCTCTGTAACTGTAACAAAGAAACCCACTGTCGGTCTCCTTGCGTTTCCTACACGCGCCTGTCGCCGTAATCCCAAGCGCGTGGGGCTGGCGATGATGATGATGACTCATTTTTCTCCGTCTTATATTGATAGCTTCCAGATGACGCCACGTGGACGGTGGTGAACAGATACCAGGGTATATCGGTCAATTACACGAACACGTAAGGGGTAAAAACGCCAAATGATTTTCCCTCGGACTAGAATCGTCGAATCGAAAATTGGCGGAATAAGTACCAAAAAAAATTAGGGCTAAAAGCTCTAAACATAGGGAAAAAATATTGAAACGGAGTTGAAATTAACGTAAAAAGAAGGATCGGTGATCGCCGGAAGCGGCCGACGGATCTAAGCGTACGGACGGTGGAGAAAAGATAACGCCACCGGAGATCGGCGGAGGAGAGAGGATACGATAGGGAGATCGCCGGAGGAGAGAAAAAGGGGTCGAATAGAATATCACAGAGAAAAAAACGGAGGTGTAGCAGCTTAAATATGGTGGAGTGATGCACGACTAACCCTGTTTTTATAGAAAATTCCAAATATGCCACTCCATATATTATGGGCCTTATTAATTGGGCTTGGAAAATGTTTATGACCCATATGATATCCAATCCAATGAAAATCCAATCTGACTCATGGGAAAAAAAAAAGATGGAAATATTTATTCTTGGTTTCAAAACGACCCAGAAATTTACGCTTCAATGCATCACAAATAACAATTTAACACGCTTATCTACGGAAATAAAAAAGGGAAAAACCCTAAAAATTTCTGAACTTGCAAAGTACGGAAAAAAAATTCCTGAACTTGCGAGGGTACCAAATAATTCCTGAACTTGCAAAAAGTGTCTAAATAAATCCTAATCTTGTTAAAAAGTGTCAGATGAATATTTGACCAATATTGACTGAAACTCAATCCTACGTGGATTGTGATGTGCGGAGCCACGTCAGTTTTTATTTCCACGTGTGCAGAAGTTGGTTTTGATAAATCTGTTTTAGGAAATAAACGGGATTGTACTGAACCAGGTTTCATAATATTAAACCGGGAAAAAAACAAACCCTAATCATCAGCGGACCCGGAGGAGCTAACCTCGAAACAGATCCCGATCCGGAACCCGACCCGCTCCCATGATCGCTGTGGACCGAAGAAACCGACGGTCGGGGAAGTGGGTGTCCTCGCCTCTCGTCGGAGTCCGAATCGAAGCCCGCGAAATCGTGGCTACAACGCGGAGTACCGCGCGTGGGAGTCACCGCCTCATCGAAGCTGGCCTTATTCTCGCCGGAGATGACTTCCTTGTTTCTCTTGTCGGCTCCACGAGGACTCTGGTTATGGTTATCGTCTTTGGTTTTCCCAGACTTTCTCGCCCACCAAGCAGGCATTTCAGAGAGAGGGAAAAGAAAAAGTGGACTCTAGATAGAGAATTCAACGGAATTAGCAAAATTCCGGATCGGGATCTGTTTCGAACGTTAGCTCTTCCGGGTCCGCTGATGATTAGTGTTTGTTTTTGTTTTTCCGGTTTAACATTATGAAACCCGGTTCAGTACAATCCCGTTTATTTCCTAAAACATATTTATCAAAACCAACTTCTGCATACGTAGAAATAAAAACTGACGTGGCTCCGCACATCACAATCCATGTAGGATTGAGTTTCAGTCAATATTGGTCAAATATTCATCTGACACTTTTTAACAAGATTAGGATTTATTTAGACACTTTTTGCAAGTTCAAAAATTATTTGGCACTCTCGCAAGTTCAGAAAATTTTTTTCTCGCACTTTACAAGTTCAGGAATTTTTAAGAATTTTTCCCAATAAAAAAACATATATTACAAATAAATATATTTTGTGGCTAATACACTTGACGACGAAATAATAACGATTTTTTTTTTCCTTTTTTTGTACAGTCGAAAAATTAGATCCAGTATTGTTTCATTTATTTTATAATACAAAAGTTTACCAAATTTTTTACCCAATTACATTTCACAGAGATAAAAAAAAAGTCCAATAGAATACCCTTTTCATGTTTGGATTTGAAACCGAATAAAAGTCATTTCATTATTTAGCAATGCTTTAGCAACAAAGGATTTTCCAATTTTATTATTGTTAGAAAAGGTGAAAATAAAATAGATGGATGGAGTTTATAGAGAAAAACAAATAGTAGTGTAATTTAATTGCGTTTCAATTTGAAATTCAATTCTTTTTTTAATTCAAAATGAGATCGGTCGTGAGGGAACAAAAAGATAAACATTTTTTCTCAACCAAATTTTATATTTTTTTTATAACGCCCCCAAAATATTTACCGATGACATATTATGCACGAAATCATAATAGCTGGCCCTAATTTATTATACCTTTCGCTTTGGACCGTAAGAAACCAGACACATTTATCGCATGTTCTGCATTTTATGTAATTTTTTGTTCTATTTTTAATCTTGATTAGGCGGTGAATGTTGTTGAGTACAAGACCCTCTCTCGATTTTGCTTAAATAATAAAAATAATATTCGTAAGTAGACAATAATTATTTGCAATATATATATATACTTATACATGACGGTTCTATGCTAAAATATATTAATAATATTGATTAAGTGTACACATGTATTTGTAATATCGATGTAATAGATAAAGTATTCAATATCATATTTACGTCTGAATAATTGTATTCACCTCGTATTCACTTGGTACAATGTAAGTCCAAAATATATATAATCACTGTGAGGGGATTAATTTTTCTTTTTAAATTTTACAAGTAAAAAATAAAAATCATTTACAATTTGCGGAAAGCAGTTGGTCGTTGGAGCAAATCAAATGCGAAAAGATTTAATATTTGTAATTATTACAGAGAGTACAGATTAATTGTTATATAAACAGCCTATAATGGAGTTAGGGTGATCACCAGAGCATTGAGAATATTACTGTAGTTTCTATTTGGTGAAGAAAAAAATGGCAAGTGTCGTGAACGGAGTTGCTCTCTTGGCTTTGTTATGTCTCAGTGCTTTCCTCGTGAATGTATCGGCGAAAGATGTTGTGAGTGCGAGCAAAGAAGATGAGGACGAGAAGACGTTCTTAGGAGGTATCGGTGGTGGAGCCGGAAAAGGCGGCGGCTTTGGCGGCGGAATCCGAAAAGGTGGTGGCTTTGGTGGCGGAATCGGAAAAGCTGGTGGCTTTGGTGGCGGAATCGGCAAAGGCGGCGGTTTTGGCCGCGAGATCGGTAAAGGAAGCGGTTTTGGCGGCGGAATCAGCAAAGGCGGTGGCTTTGGTAAAGGTGGCGGTTTTGGTGGCGGAATCGGAAAAGGCGGTGGATTTGGAGGTGGGGTCGGTAAAGCTGGCCGCAGCCGAATCGGTAAAGGCTTTGGATTTGGCGGGGGGATCAGCAAAGGCGCTGGTTTTGGTGGCGGAATCGGAAAAGGCGGTGGATTTGGAGGTGGGGTCGGTAAAGCTGGTCGCAGCCGAATCGGTAAAGGCTTTGGATTTGGCGGGGGGATCAGCAAAGGCGCTGGTTTTGGTGGTGGAATCAGCAGCAAAGGCTTTCGATTTAGCGGCGGAATCAGCAAAGGCGTTGGCTTTGGTGGTGGAATCGGAAAAGGTAGCAACTTTGGCGGCGGAATCGGAAAAGGTGTCGGCTTTGGCGCCGGAATGGGCAAAGGTGGCGGCTTTGGTGGAGGAATCGGAAAAGGCGGTGGTGGGTTTAGAGGAGGAGGAGGTGGCCACTACTGATGAACTCAAAAAGTCTCTACGTTGCATGGACTGCATGGCGTTACGTCCATATAGCGTTTGATATTTGAGCGTGAATTGTTAAAGCCCTAGGCTTCGTTGTCCTTTGTTTCTTTGTATTACTCGGAATGAGTTTTGTTTCGGCTCATTCCGTTATTAAAATGAAAATGAGAATTTCCTGAATTTTAATTATTACTGTTTTAAAATAACATTACGGTATTTCGTATGAAATTCATCTTGAATTTGAGTTTATTTGATAGAATCAAGACAGACATAGCCGTGAGAAATCCGATCCGTGGAAAGTTCTAGAAACTCTGCAGAATATTCTTGATTGATTTTGAAATTCAAATCGAATTCTAATCTGTAGAAAATCTATCAAATATAATCAAGATAATATCAAAATAAAATCTAATTTAAATTTTAAAAATCAAATTGATTTTATTTTGAGATTCTTCCCTCTACTATTTGAGTTAGTTCATTCTACACGGAAAAAAAAAAACAAGCATTCTAGAGGAAAAAAAGAGTATTCACATATTTGATCATATCTCTTTCAGAGTTCGCTTGGTATTTGGACCGTGTTGTATCCTAGTGAAGTTTTAGAGGTGGCATGGAAATCGAACTTAAGGAAATTGTGTTTCACAGGCCTCGACAAAATAATTTTTTATTTCTGATACTTATCTGGAATCGTTTGAATTGTCGGAGTTTTGTCGTCGTCAACAACCGTCGTCCCCAACAATTCATTCATTGTCGTCTTAGTGCATTAATGCTTCAATAACCACAACAAAAGCATCGCATAAGAACAACAATTTGTTTGTTTTTCCATAAAAAAACAATTTTTTGTTCAAGTTTATCCCTCTTAGAAAAACATATTTAATGATGTATTTTTGTTGCGGGATAAAATGGGTCATTATAAAAAATATCCTCCCTTTTCTATTTTGACTTCAATATATACCCTTTTCCGACTGGAGCCCAATGATCCATATGATTAGAAATATAGTCTGATCACATGTTGGTCCAATTGATCATAACGTGTAATTTATAATGTTTTTATCAAATGATTACTGAGATATGGAAGGGATAAACATAATGAGTTAGTGTGATCACCATCAGTGGCGGATTTAGAAAAAAATATAAATGGGGACATTAATTTTATATATATTATTTTATAGAATCAAATGCTATTTTTATGGGGGCATAGGGTAAATTTTTTTCATAATCTTACAAAATTTACCTAATAATTACTTGTTTTTTTAATTAGAGTGGGGGCCTGTGCCCCCACCCCTCCTAACCTAGATCCGCCCCTGATCACCATAAATTTAACGTTATAACAAATGAAATCAATATGTGACCAGACTATATGTCTGGTATGTGTTGAAGTTAAAACAACAAAAAAATGGTATTTTTGATATAATGGTAAATAAAAGAATGAAAAAAGCAAATTAACCGAACAAAATATTAATATATATACATTATAGAATTAGGTAAACTCCGTGTTGATGGAAATCTCATGTACTGTTGTTGTTACTTGCTTTTAATCCTTAAAAGCGTAATAATAGATGGTGATATCCAAGTTCCATGTGATGATCATATTTTACATCAATCTTCAAAATAAGCTTCCCCTACATAAACTATCTAATGATGTGAGATTGCAGAGGAACACATGTGTACAAGTTGTGCGAAGAACGCATAACAAATGAAGAAACATGACAAATAAGATTTTTTTAAATAGATTTATATAAAAGAATAATAATTAATTTAAATGGAAATTAGTGAAAACGGGGTCGATATTAAAGGCCGAGTTTAGTTGAGCCTTTTCATGAAATGTCCATTGGTTCACATTATTTTAGGCCCTTCGTTATATTTTGGACCGTATTTGTAATTAAACATGAATTTATCCATTATTCGAATTGTCTCATTCTCTTTCTCTCTCTAGGTGGCCCCTCTCTTCTGGTAATTTTTTTAAAATACACTACTTGAGTCGCGTCAATTACACAGGTACACATGCGAAATAGGGACGAAAATTTTTAACAAATTATACACCAATATTTTGGGTAAATTACTTAAATGTCCTTACTTTCAAAATGTCAAAAATATTCTTAATGTTAAATTAAAAAAAAAATAGACCTTTTTTATTTGAAAGAATACTTTTTTTTATGGAGGAAGCACCTACTTTTCGTATATATTTTGTCCACGTGGTTTTCTATATTATTTTAGATTTTAATATTTTTATACACGTTTGTTTCTCGAATAAATCCTACAAATTTATTACGACTTAATTATGACTTATTTGTGACTTCATATATGAACTAAAATTTTCTATTAAAATTTATATTTTGTCGATAAGGAATCCACAGATAAAGAAAATAAACAAGTTATGTAAAAAGAATTAGTTTTAGGTCACAAATCACAAATTAATTAAAATTTTGTACATTTATTGATATGTACCACTAAATGTATATTAACCAACTACTCACATATTCAACTAAATTACATAAAATGAATCAAAATTCCAAATTTGTTGAAATTTATTAAAAATATTAATTCAAATCGATTAATATCACTTTATTGGATAAATTCCATCATCATTAGACAAAACCAAATCTAAATTCACGATTTTTTTAACAAATTTACAAAAATTCTATGGCGGCAAATAAGTCATAATCCAGTCATAAAAAAGTGGTTGTGGCCGATTCCCAAGACAAAATTAAAGAATCCTTATGTTTTGGATCCACTTTTCATATATATTTTGTCCACGTGGTTTTTCATATTATTTTAGATTTTGACCTTTTTTATACACATTTGCTTCTCGAATAAATCCTGTGAATTTATTACGACTTAACTACGACTTATTTGTGACTTCGTATATCAACTAAAATTTTCGATTAAAATTTGTATTTTGTCGATAAAGAATCCACATATGAAGAATATAAACAAATTTTACGAAGAGAATTAGTTTTAGGTCACAAATCACAAATTAATTAAAATTTTGTATATTTTTTAATATGTAACACTAAATGTATATTAACCAACTACTCATATATTCAACTAAATTACATAAAATGAATCAAAATTTGAAATTTGTTGAAATTTATTAAAAATATTAATTCAAATCGATTAATATCATTTTATTGGATGAATTTTATTATCATTAGACAAAACCAAATCGAAATTCGCGATTTTTTTAACAAATTTACAAAAATTCTATGGTGGCAAATAAGTCGTATTTCAGTCGTAAAAAAGTGGTTGTGGCCAATTTCCAAGACAAAATTAAAGAATCCTTATTGTTGAACCCACTTTTCGTAGATATTTTGTCCACCCGGCTTTTCATATTCTTTTAGATTTTAACTTTTTTTTGCACGTTTGCTTCTCGAATAAATTATGCGAATTTATTACGACTTAATTACGACTTATTTGCGACTTCGTATATCAATTAAAATTTTCGATTAAAATTTGTATTTTGTCGATAAAGAATCCACAAATAAAGAATATAAACAAATTATACGAAAATAATTAGTTTTAGGTCACAAACAATAGATTAATTAAAATTTTGTACATTTGTTGATATGTAACAACTAAACCAAATCGAAATTCGCGATCTTTTTTACAAATTTACTAAAATTCTATAATGGCAAATAAATCGTAATCCATTCGTAAAAATATGGTTGTGGTCGATTTCCAAAACAAAATTAAAAAATACTCATGGTTGGACCCACCTCTCAGATGATTATTCATTTTTCTTAAAAACAGCGTGTATACCTGTAACATTTTTTACATGTCCATTTTATTAAGGGTTTTATAGTCTTTTCTATCTTTTTAAGGGTAAATATGACTTTTGTTAATTCTTTCTATTTTTACGGTGTACCACTAAAATGAAGGGAAATTTTGCACCAGTATCCAAAAACGTCACGTCATTAGAAATCTATACATTTTTTTCCTTTCTTTGCAAACTATACCTTTTTATAATTTTTTGACAAAAATACTCTTACTTTATTGTATAATTTCAATGTTGCCATTATTCAAAAAAATTACAGCATAAAAAATATATTTTATTCAGAAACTTTGTTATCTCGAAAAACTGTTTTTTTTCATCCGGAATAATTATTTTTTATCTGTGAGAATCTGTTTTTATTTGGTTTAACTGTTTTTGTATACGAAAAAAATAATTTTTTTATCAAGAAGAACTGTTTTTCGTCCGAAAAAATTATTTTTTCATTCGGGAAAGACTTTTTTTTATCCGAAAAAAATGTTTTTTATCTGAAAAAGTCTATTTTCGTTTGGGAGAATACTTTTTTTTGAGAAAATTGTTTTCATAGGAGAAAAAATAATTTTTTTTATACGTGAGAACTATTTTTCATTCAGACAAAAAATATACACTCCCAAACGAAAAACAACTCCCTAAAAAAAACAGTTCTTCCGGATAAAAAAACAAACTTTTCCGAACGAAAAACAGATTTTTCCGAACAAAAAACAATCTTCCCAGACAAAAAACAGTTCTCTCGGACAAGAAAAAGATTCTCCCGGATAAAAATACTCTCCCGAACAAAAAACAGACTCTCCCGGACAAAAACCAGACTCTCCCACACAAAAAAACAGTTTTCCCAGACAAAAAGAGACTCTCTCGGACGAAAAACAGTTCTCCCGGACAAAAGACAAACTCTTCTGGATGAAAAAAGTTCTCCCGGACAAAAAAAGTTCTCCCGGATGAAAAACAGCTCTTCCGGATTACACGGTTTCCAAAAAAATCTGTTTTTTATATTGTACATTTTTTGGGATGCTAAATGATAATATTGAAATTATACAATAAAATAAGGGTAATTTTGTCAAAAATTTATAAAAAGATATAGTTTGCAAAGTTCATAACTATTTTCTCATATTTTGCAAAAGACCATATCTTTTTGTCTCACTCAACTAATAACCCCTAAAATGAATGCGACATACCCGTAGTGATGTAAAACGGGCTGGCTCGGACTGGCCCGGACTGGCTCATCTCGAGCCAGTTCAAT